CCTTCAATCTTCTATGCAGCTATGTGTCACCCCTGAGACTATGTTCTGGCCAGGGGGAGCTTGTGAGGCTGGATGATGAGCTGAGGTCGTTAAAACACACAGCTGTCAGGGCAACCCAGCATCCAGCCCAGTTCTTCTACCTCTAAAGCCCATGCTTTCTATGCATGATACGTCAAGTGTTTTGAGAGCAGGATGCAAGTATGGTAAGGAATATTGCTAATCATAAAACAAACTCTTGTTTTTCAAATCCTACTAGTCCCTATGATATTCCAGCAAGCCCTGTTAATTACATGAATGCATTACCTAAAACATGGAGTGATTAAGTCTATTGGTAAAGTACACCTGGAGTATCCAAGGTACACCTCTCAGAATAAGCCAGAAGGGGTGACAGGAGAAAAATATATATATAGTAGTTTATTTAATTATAGTATAGTATATAAACGATATATATATATATATATATATAAGATTATATAAGGAAAAATTAGAAGAACTAAGGCCTTCGGGTTGGAAAAGATTCCCGGAGCAAAATCATAGCTTCTTAAAAGAATCAGAGCCTCATGTAGGCTCCCAGCTTTGTTCAGTGCTGCAGCCCAGGGCCTTGAATGGGGCTTGCTGTGCGGTGGGGATCGCTGTGTCTGCTGAACACATCTTCCCTATATGTCACACCTCCCTTCAAATCTGGCTGTCATCTCCCACTGGGCCTGTCTGCATGGTCAAACCTTCAGATGGTTTTGAGGAAGGACACTGAGGCACACGGATGATACTCTGGACTGTAGAGTTCTGAGGTGGCATTGGAGTGCCAGAGGAACTGGCTTCAAGTCCCTGGCTCTGCCCTTCCTACGGGACCTTGGGGCTGTCCAGTCCCTGTGAAGCATGCCACGCGTTGCCTGGATGTAGGGGGCCTCGGTGCTCAGGTGACTGTCACTGTCCTTTCTTTCCTGGCCAGGGCGCACATCAGGTAGGAGATGCCATCCCACACCTCCAGTCCCACCCCGGTGTGCCAGTCTGGAGATCCCACGCACCACTTGGCAAGGTTCTCCGTGTAGGTCATGTTCTTCGTGGTCCACGTGTGGTCGGCCATCCGCAACAGCAGCAAAGGAGTTGCAGTTCTCAGGTGAAGGGACAGGTGACATTCATCTGACGTCTGGATGAAACGTGACAAATGTCCACAACACTGGCTCTGGCAGGCGATGGGGTGGGAGGCAGGGAGACACCACACACACTGGCGTGTGCAGCGGTTGGTAGTTGTCTCTTCTCCTGGGACTCGTTTTTGGTGATCATATACAGCACATGTGATGAGTAAAAATGTATAAAATAAAATAAAAAATAAATGGGATCAGAGCGACAGCCAGAATCCCCTTCTCCTGGTGTACATGGAAATAGGACAGGCTGGAATGATGTGCGTCCCACAGGGTGGAACGGCGGCAAGGGCCTCTGTCTGTCCTACTTGTGAGCATATCCGCATTCAAGGACTCATTTTTATTGTGTCTCACTGCGCAGTTCTGATTTTTGGGGGCCATGCATTTTTCTTTCCCCTGACTTTTTATTTGCTCACCTTGAGCAAGATTTTGCTTAAAGGTTCAGATGCAGGTTTTACCTGCACACAGTAATTCCTGAACACTCACCACGTGGTAACAGTTTTGCACCATATCTGCATCAGACTCTGTTTTTGGCTGCTTCATCATTCATTGCAATTTGGTTGATAACTTTATCCAGCTGAGGAAAGCAACAGACGAAAACGTCAAGTCAGCTTTGTCTCAGAACTCATTTGGGCAGAGATCAGGGGGCTGGGTGAGCGGGATCCTGCAGAAGGTGAGGCTCCACTGCAATCTGTACCCCCACCAAACAGGTGAGGAAGCACAGATGCCTATGACGCTCCTGAATTCAACTGGCTGCGGAACAAAATAGAGAAATATCGACCAATAGGTAGACTGTCCACCAAAAGCACTGACCTGAAACCCCCGTATGTAAGCAGACAGAAGGTAACTTTGTCCAGCTACATGGACAACTGAAAGCATCAGAGATCAAATATCCGCACGAAGCAGGTATAAAACGGAACAGCACAGAATAGTCCAAGCAGACATCCACCAAAGTGTGAATCAATTGATCCCGACCTATGTAGACTACAGGACCCATGAGCAGAGTGGGTGAGATGGCTCCTGAGGAAAAGGGAGTGCTGGGAAAAGTATTGTTCGTGCCCGAGATTGGCGACAGTCGCGCGAAAGTGCCAGACAATAAACAGACCTACTTGATCATGAGGTATAGTTCATCCAGGTTTTAGCAAAGGAAACTGTCGTTAGGAACAAAGTGGCCAAGGCTCCAGTTGTAAGAAGCACCCATATACCACCAAAAAGAATGGACAAAGACGCTATCAGTTGTTTTGTCTAAGGAAACAAAACGGCATAATATGACGACTGTAAGTAGTGAATCCATCTAGAGTACTGCATCAAAGAATCCTGAAGATGTGGCCGGCAAAGAAGCAGTGTCCTCGCAGGTCAGCCTGTCTAGGTTGGCTTAGCACCTACTAATCAGGCAGAGATTTAGGATGTGGGCGCAAAATGCAACCGCCCAAAAATTAAAGAAATAAGAAAGATAGTTGTAGGCGACTTCGCTCTCACCGCAGGAGGCGGGTACCTGGATAATGAGCTTTGTGAAGGCGATCGTGAGACTTTGAGGAATGGGTATAGGGCCGCGTTGATTAAATTGAAAGGCATGCTTCCATTTGGAAGTGGAGCTTTGTACAGCAAAGAGAAGTTCCATCTCCACAGGAGGCTGTCAGGATCTCCAGTTAAGCAAAGAAGGTGGACGAGTGCAGCCGCCATCCGGGTCAAGCGAAAGGCATCCAAGGAAACGAACAGCCTAGTTGAAGATTCACAAAGTCATGATACATAATAGAGATGGGGCTACGGTGGGCTCTGCAGAAGCCCTGCAGAGAGGGACCACAGCCGGGTCAGTTGGCAAGTGCGGTGGACCAGTGCGAAAGGGGATGTGCGCACTCCACTTCGTTCGCTGCCATTTGCCACACACCTCCTAAAATTAGGGTTCAGCCATTGTGCCATCTACCAGCTCCCATCACTAGTTTTTCTCTCACTAGCGCGAAAAGCACCCGAGTAAGAGAGCGACTGAACACTCAATCCCTCTATCCTACAATGACGGAACCGAGAAGGAACAGGAGAATAATGGGCATCGAGTAGCATTATGAGGCTGAGACAGAGAAGGCGGTCTTTAAAACGAGAATAGAACAGACTGGCTAGGGAAAGATTAATTATGCGAAAACATACTCATTAGGCTTGGACATAGGTGGGCGACCATACCTCCCAGATAAGCCCTCTGTAGATGATTCTTCGTGTAGGTCATGTTCTTCGTGGTCCACGTGTGGTCGCCATCCGTCCAACAGAGCAAAGGGGAGGTGCAGTTCTCAGGTGAAGGGACAGTGACGTTCATCTGCGTCTGGATGACAAACGTGACAAATGTCCACAACACTGGCTCTGGCAGGCGATGGGGTGGGGGAGGGCAGGGGAGACACCACACACACTGGCATGTGCAGCGGCTCCCTCGTAGTGTGTCTCTTCTCCCTGGGGACTCGTTACTCATCTTTAAACTGGGATCATATACAGCACATGATTAGAAGTAAAAAAAAATAAATAAATAAAAAAATAAACTGGGATCAGAGCGACAGCCAGGAATCCCCCTTCTCCAAGAGACATGGAAATAGGACAAGGCTGGAATGATGTCTCCACAGGGTGGAACGGGGCAAGGGGCCTCTGTCTGTCCTACTGTGAGCATATCCCGCATTCAAGGACTCATTTTCTAAAGGAATCTCACTGCGCAGTTCTGATTTTTCTGGGGCCACGCATTTTTCTTTCCCCTGACTTTTTATTTGCTCACCTTGAATGCAAGATTTTGCTTAAAGTTCAGATGCAAGGGTTTACCTGCACACCAGTATTCCTGAACACTCACCACGGTGGTAACAGTTTTGCACCATATCTTGATCAGACTCTTGTTTTTGGCTGCTTCATCATTCATTGCAATTTGGTTGATAACTTTTTTATCCAGCTGAGGAAAGCAACAGACAGAAAACAGTCAAGTCAGCTTGTCCTCAGAACTCATTTGGGGCAGAGATGCAGGGGGCTGGGGTGAGCGGGCTCCTGCAGAGGTGAGGGGGCTCCCACTGCATCTGCACCCCCACGGTGGAGCACAGTGCCTAGACCTTAACGGTGCAGGACAAATGAATGACTGTGTCACCAAAGCACTGCTACCTAGGAAGCAGGCAGAAGGTATTTGCCGGATGACTGAAAGACAGAAAACCAGAAGGTAAAAGTGGATGCACAAGGTCCCCAAGGCAGCATCCACAAAGCTTTCTTTCATTTTGACCATGCAGACAGGCCCAGTGAGCAGGTGGGTGAGATGGCTCCTGGCAGGAAAGGGAAGTGTCCTCCCTGTTGGCCAGCAGTGGGAAGCCACTTGATCATGAGTAAGCCCCTGGTGTTGAGGACAGTCGTGGGAACAAAGTGGCCCCAAGGCTCCAGTTGTAAGAAGCACCCCCAAACCAACAAAAAGGCCCTTCGTTGTTGTCAAGGAAACAAAGGCAATTACACTGTCAAGTGTCCCTAGAGGTCTGCTCCGGTGCCGCAGAGCAGTGTCTGCAGACCCTGCCGGCCTCTATCAG